CCCTTTCGTTTTCCTACATTGATAAGTCTATCATGTATTAAAACTGATGATTCTGCAAAAATTAGAAAAGATCCTTAGGCAAGGTTTACGCAAATTCAAATCTTGCATAAGGACCTTTGCTAATCTTTGCAGGATCTTGACTTTTAATACATAATTCGTGAATTTCGAGGATTATTTAGAGACAATGCGTTACAAATTGATATAAGGAAAGCTGCAAAAATAAGGCTTAATTTCTTTTAGAAACAATACAATTTTTATGATAAGATCGAAAACTAATAAAAAAATACGAAACAAGAATTAAGATTATCAACTTCTCGACAGAAGTCCAGTAATATAAACAAAGGATAAGTCAAACCAAACATTAATCGTATAACATATTTGACAACACTGAACAATTGTAAACAAAAAAGAATAACGCGACATGTTTAATGATATGATAACATAACGAAACCCGCGCGTTTATTGTGAATATATCTCAAGTAAAAATTCCGATATTTTAAAGTGTTATATCTCGTTAATTACATACGATTTCCACATAATTCAAGGTGACAAATGACTCAGAATTCCATCCTTTATAACATCCCCGCTTGAAATTATAAATACATAATGACAAAATTGCATTAGTTTCAGTCTAAATTTCAATGTAAATCAATCATTATCTTGTTGCACACAGAGAAACACAAGTAAATATTACTTGTTTTAAATATTTCTGCAAATCTATCATAAGTTCGTCAAAAATATGAGACTTATTCAAGAGTACTAATAAATTTAGTATTTCAACGAAGGACATTAAATTGAAACAAAAATTCAGTTTACTTTCAGTTTACTTATTTCATAGAGTCGAACCAACTTTTCCTTCGGTAAAGAATTTTATAATATTCTTGTGAAAGAAATAAACTCTTCTTTTGAATACATGATAATGAGCTTTTCTCAGATTTATGATAAGTACATTTTAAGACTGTTATCAAGAAAATATTCTTTGTTAAAGATAACCATTACTTAAAAAAAAGGAAAATAAACTGAATAATGACTTTTAATAGGATGGCATTTCTCTATATGCGATTCACATAAATTTAGACTGAAAGTCAGGCTAAATCTTATGTAACGTTGTCGTTTTGTATTCGTCATTTTAAACAGGGATATCTTAAGATCAAAGAAATCCGAGGGGTGTGAGGAGTTTTCTCTACATAATTACCGCAAATTTCTTTCATTTCCAGCTACTTACTCCTCGCGTTACGCGATCGCGCGAGTACGATCGTGCGAGAGAGAGAAGCTCTCTCAATCCTCGCGTTCTCGATCTGAAACTGCCCGATCGAGTCTGTCGTTCTCCAAGTGTCTCCAGCAAAATTCATTCCATTCAGATTGCCCTCTAATGACGAGACACTGTTTCAATTTCGCCAGTCATATTTCTCGACAACGACGCGAACGGATTGATGAAGGAGCGCGTGATGAGACCGCGAGCCCGCGCGAGATCTCGCTAATATATCTGAAATCTTTCGCAAGCTCCGACACGATCTAAGAGAGGCCACGTCACTCTCGCGCGCCGGAGGATGCGCGGATTCATTCCTCACGTTCTCCCGTGCGCGCCAGGCGATAGGAGAGAGTCGGAGACGATCTAACGATGAAAAATGAATCGGGATCCACCTCCGCGCTCTGCGAATCGTCGCATTCCCCACCGCGAAAAGGAAGATCGATCGTGCACATGTGCGCCAGGATTGGATTTAAGCGGCGAGAGTTCGCAGAAATTTCGCGAGAGAAGCCGCGCACCTGTCATTCCCTCGCAGCGATCAAAATTGGCAGCTGGCTACCGACATCGAGCGCGATATCGGCGAACGCGCTCGCGCGTCCTCTCCATCTCTCTTTCCCTCCCTCCCTCTCTCTCTCTCTCTTCTGCTATTTCCGTTTTCATTTAAACGTTTTTCAGTTTAATGCAATTTTGCGCTTAAAAGCGCCGCGACGCAAAGCGTCGACTGGTTTTTCTCCTCCCCTCCCTCATCACCTCTCTCCCCCTTGCCCCTCCGTGTTGTTGCGTTCGCCGGGGAATTTCGGCGCGGGCACGATCGGTCTGCCGTTTTCCACAAGCATCCCTTCAGTCGATTCAACAGCACCTGCGAACTTTTGCGCATTCTCCGAGTATTTTCACAAACACCCTTTCCCTTCGATTCACACGACTCCGCTCTGTGATGCTCGCGCACCAAAATCACAATTCACCATCTCGAGCGGAGGATGAAAAGAAAGCATAAGACAATCGAGCGCGCGTGTGTATGTGTATGTGTGTGTGTCTCTCTTTCACATCCCGCCGCGCGCGATTTCTCCCGAATATAAGACATACACCTTAGGAAAAAGTGTTATAGTCTCGATCTGCAAAATATCTATCACCTTCGACGACCTCACTCTTGCAATTTCTACAGAGACAAATCTTGAATTCTCTTTCTGTTTACATTTTCACTCGCTGCACGGACAGATGGTAAGAAACGCCGCTCGATTCTTCTAAACGTCACACAATTAAGAGCTTCATTGATTATCATTGATTTCTAGCTATTTCATAGTAGTCTCGATGTCGAGTTTCTCTTCCTCTCTCTTTCTCTTTCTCTGTCTCTCTGTCTGTCTCTATCTATCTATCTGTCTACCTCTCTCTTTCTCTGTCTTTTTCTGTTCCTCTTTCTCTAATTACATTTTTTTCGTCCGCGACGTCGTCTTTCATTCTTCCCGGTACAAGAAGAACGTACGTACATACGCGCGTTTAAACGCGTTATCCCTTTTTCTTCTTTCTCTCTTTCGTTCTCTATGATCTCCACATTGTGTGTGTACGTATGTATATATAATATTATATACATCTGTATATTAGCCACTTTTTTTCTTGTGTGTTTCTTTTTCTTTACCTTCAGCCATCTGTTTCATGGTACTTACGGTTTCTCGCATCAAGATATATGAGGTTCTCTTTCTCTTTCTCTATCTATCTCTGTTTTTATCTGTCTATCTATCTTTCTTTCTTCCTCTTATTTTTTTTTCTCTGTCTCTGTCTCTCTCTCTCTGTCTCTTTCTCTCTCGGTATCTGTTCTCTAGCACTTTTAGTTTCACTCCCCGATTATGTATGTACATGTATGTGTGTAATACATATTCGAGATGTCTCGACGGCACCATATATAGCCTGGATTTTTACATCTTCACCGGTAGATTTTGATTTTCTGCATCATTATATACTCATAGCATCTCTCCATCCTGTCTCTCCATACGTTTGTTCAAGATGGCATCAAAGGCGGCCGCGATCTCTCATGTGTAATTGCAGTTTGCCAAGGCCCCGAGCCGCATGTGCATTCGGCGTACTCGAGTCAAGTCGATGCCGACATTCGAGAACGCATCGCGCGCGCGAGAGAGAGAGAGAGAGAGAAAGAGAGAGATGCCGTTTGCCATCTTGCACACCACGATCTATATATAATCACGCATGCATCGCAGCGATCGGCCAAATCGTCTCTCATTCGGTCTCGTCTTAATGATATTTTCTCGGTGTCTCACTGGAGAGTACCTCTAGAGCGATATTTCTCACTTTGATCACGTTTTACACTCCGACCGACTGTCTACCACTGTCCGAGAGTTCCGTAGTCGGTTTCAATTTCTTTCACGTGTCACGTCCATCCCGACCACCCTGCCGGCCTGTTTCAGTACATTATCTCTCTCTCCTTTTTTTTTCTTCTTTCGTACGTTTCATATGTGTATGTATAGTTATCTCTCTCTCTTTTTCTCTCTCTCTCTCTCTCTCTCTCTCTCTCTCTCTTCCCATTCCTCATCCCGTCACTCATCGATAACCGGCTTAGCTGTAATGGACTGCCCCGGGAAGTCAAAGAACTTCCGGAAATCGGCGGATGGAGCCTTCGCGCGACCGACCGTGCGGCCGCAAAACTTCACTTTCTTCCCTCCGGACGCGCGATCGAATTGCGGACCAGCAATCAGACCCTGCCACGAACGCTCGTGTAGGCGAATAATTTTTGTATGGCTCATTAAATTATTCCAGGCGAGATGTACGCGAGATATCGAACCACGTTGACATATAGCTATCGTCGTCGTCGCCGTCGACTACGATTAATTTCGCCATTCGGTCGAGGAGAAGGCACGGGACTAATTTGTTGGCGCAATTCTCTCTCTCTCTCTCTCTCTCTCTCTCTCTCTCTCTC